CATCTAGACTTCGCATCCACGACGACTTACTATACGCTGTTATGATGTACAAAGATTTTTCTATGGACAAACGAATCGAATATGTCACTGCACTCATCGATATGGTTGACCGAGACCGAACAAGGCATCACCTGGTCTTGCCTCTTCTCACGAGGTAGACAGTCAACAAGAAATAGAGAAGAGATGTTTGATTGTTGGGAAACTCCTTGAAATCACTACTTTAGCACTGATGACATCGAGGAGAAGTTGAAAATTATCTTTCGTTGTACCAATATTGGCTACAAAGATTTGTCACAGCTCGATATCTCTGTTTTGTCGCATCAGGTGCTGCAGCCGTTGTATGGTGAGGGTTTGAGTCTCCACTTTTCTATCCGATCTGCCAATTTTGATTCCTCAGATCGACAACGAGTTTCCCGCGGAGATCGGTCAAAACTGGACAAAATTGCAAGGATTCTCAAAAGTTTTGGCATCACATCTGATTCTGTATGGCAGACGTTGTACTCATGGTGGCAAGAAAAACTCGCAAGCGAGAAAAGGCTACCAAATTTAGAAGATGCTTTGCGACCTATGGCGAAAGAGCTCCAAGAGTAAGTGTTATGGAAAATCCTAGACAACCTTGTGACAATATTATCACTGTATAACTGCAGATGGCTAAAACTACAGTACACAGCGACATTTGAAGTAGAGAAGAAAAGCAGTATAAAAGGTCCACAGATTCGAGTCACCTATGAAAGGCTAAAGAAGTTTGTTGATGGTCGTGTAAGTGAAGTCACCTTTTTGTGTTGGACGAAATTATACTCGTTAGCTCTCAAGACTTGACACGGGAATTTTTCCGTGTTGAATAATAGAAATGATGCATCTAAGTGCCTTTTAAGTGCTGATTTCATATCTGCTTTCCATCTGCAAAATCTCAGGCGCTAAGAGCTTTCGTTCTACTCGATTTCGCTTTGCTGAAGAACGTAAGATGTTGGATGGCAAATGGATAGTTGCTTAAGTCGTTGAGCTCCTCTGAAACAAACGATCAGGGGCTTGGATCGTGCTGCTGCCCACATCTTTGTACATGAGTCATTGCAACAAGGAAAGCGTGGGGATTGGCAAAACTCGTTCGTCGGCCGTCTGAAGGATAGGAAACACTACTGTCTAATTCCATCAGAATCCAGGATACCTCGGCCTTTTGACCTACTATGCACTTAGCGAGATAATACAAACTGAGACTAGCGTTCCACGGTACAATGAATGTTCTAAATCACTCGACTTTACTTTCCCCAAACTTTCAAATGATCTCATGTTAATTTCTATGGTTAGCAGCGAAAGTTAAAGCTATTTCATGTGACTGTTATTTCATAATTTTTGAAATAAAAGCCTCCGGAGAGGGACACGTTTTCCTCCAGTGAAATACGTAGATCACTAATAGGGGTTGAAGCAGAAAAGCATCAGTTTGATGAAATCTTAGTGGACGTAATTGTGAGCGGATTTACACTTGTATAAGCTTTAAATTTCTTTAATTAGCAAAGCAACCTGAGACCTCTCGAGAAGGCCATTCTTCTGTCGTTTTGAGGAACATTATAATCAATTGTTTCATCATCATTCCCTTTTTTCTGATGAATAGGCAAAATATTAACGACAGACACCCAAAATGGGCTAACATTTGGGTTCAGTTTGACTGCTTTGCTGTTTGGTATCACTTCTCCGGGTATTGTGCTCCATTGCAGGATTCTTCAAAAGTTCATGCATTCCTTTCTTCGTACGGCTGGCCAGAGGATACAAATTTCGAGGAAATCGTTCCAGATGTGCTCGGGTTGTATCTGGATCATGAAGAATGGGGAAATGTCAAGAAAATGCTTATTTCATTGTGAGTCATGGAATATAAACTTCTAAAATATTTTATAGTTTCATTTGATGATTTGCAGGTCTGCTCAATCTAACAAATGGCAAAAAGAAGATGATCCATCATACTCTCCTATGAAAAACTACCATTTGCTACAGATTTTGAGGAGGTTATCAAACGAAGCTGAGGAGATCTCATTACGAAAAATGATCAATTATGCCTATGAATTGCGAAGGCTTTTTCCTGAAGGTTAATCCATTTGATTACGAGGTCATATTGCGATTAACAGTCTCATATCTATCGATTATGGCCAAAGTCTAGCCGGCCTACCAATCATCAGTTCCATGTAATGATCAGTTCTTTTGATTATGAGTGTGAATTTTACAGCGGTTGCCAATTACGACACGTTTTTCAATACACTACACGAATATAATCGTCTGTTTGGCAAATGTTTCGAGGTACGTCGTCAATCTAAACAAATTAGAACCCTTTTTCTTGAATTATTCGAGTGGCAGCTTTACTATGGTTCTTTTCTAGAGGCTTCCAAATCCATCTGTGGAGAAAATCGACGAATGTATAGATCTACTACGAACATTAATTAAACTGGAAATTCTCCAACTCCATCCAAACGAAACGTTAACCTCTGTTTTCATAGGGAACGTTCTGAGAAGGTTGGGTCGATCTTTTGTCGTCACTA